GCCCCTTCTTCCACAAGTGATAAACTCTAATGTAGCATCTAATGTAGCATTTGCTCCTATCCCAGCTCTTATAGGGAACAATATTGAATTTCTCAGTGGTGATTTAGCTTTGGTTAAAAGATAGGCTTTTTTATCAATCTTAACTAGTCCATAATAATTTAGCAAGTTATGCTTTATATTCATGAGTCTCTTTGTTCTAATTCCTTTACTTCGCCCTTTAGCTATGCTATCCTTCTGCTTGCCCTTCAGTTGTTTTCATACTGCCTATTCATCTAGTTTTTCTTGGTAACTCATGAGGCGGAGATGCAGAATCTTTCCCTCCATTGTGGATGTTTTTCCTCTGTTCCTTCTTCCCCAACTAAGGGATGACTTGCTGAGAAATCCTGAGGGCTAGTTCTTGTGTTGTCTAGACTGATGCTTCAGTTCTTTGCCATTGTACTGGCATATACACTTCAGAAATACAGTTTTCTGCAACATCAGTCAACTCCGATAAACAAAGGGCACGTACAGGATAGAAGGTAGTGTAGATGAATTTTTCTTCAATCTGTGCACTGAAGTCTTGCAGTATTGGGACCGGTACTGTTCAATACCATCAACAACATACACAGTGGGATCGAGCGCATCTTCAGCAAGTTCGCAGATGACACCAAGCTGAGTGGTACAGTCCACACACCTGAGGGACTGGATGCCATCCAGAGGGACCTGGACAAGCTTGAGAAGTGGGCCCATGTGAGCCTCATCAGGTTCAACAAGGGCAAGTGCAAGGTCCTGCACCTGGGTCGGGGCAACCCCAAGTATCAATACAGGCTGAGGGATGAAGGGATTGAGAGCAGCCCCACAGAGAAGGACTTGGGGGTACTGGTGGATGAAAAGCTGGTCATAGCCAACAATGTGCACTCACAGCCCAGACGGCCAACCGTATCCTGGGCTGCATCAGAAGAAGGTGGCCAGCAGGTCGAAGGAGGTGATTCTGCCCCTCTACTCTGCTCCGGTGAGACCCCACCTGGAGTACTGGGTCCAGCTCTGGAGTCCTCAGCATAAGAAAGACATGGACATGTTGGAGCGGGTCCAGAGGAGAGTCACGAAAATGATCAGAAGGATGGAACGCCTCTCCTATGAGGAAAGGCTGAGAGAGTTGGGGTTATTTAGCCTGGAGAAGAGGACATTTTGGGAAGACCTTATTGCAGCCTTTCAGTACTTAAAGGGGGCTTATAAGAAAGATAGCGGCAAACTTTTTAGCAGGGCCTGTTACAATAGGACAAGTGGGAATGGTTTTAAACTAAAAGAGGGTAGATTCAGACTAGTTACAAGGAAGAAACTTTTTACAGTGAGGGTGGTGAAACACTGGCACAGGTTCCCAGAGAGGTGGTAGATGCCCCATCCCTGGAAACATTCAAGGTCAGGTTGGGCTCTGAGCAACCTGATCTAGTTGAAGATGTCCCTGCTCACTGCAGGAGAGTTGGACTAGATGACTTTTGAAGGTCCTTTCCAACCCAAACTATTCTATGATTTATAACTGTATACCGTTGTGCATAAGGAGTTCTTTTAATAGTTTCAATATCTGAGAGAAAATTATGATGTTGGATCATTTAGGAAAATGTTTAAGGCAGTAATTCCTGGACCAGTTCTAATTTCAGTGATAGTTTAGGTGCTCAGTGTAGATCTGGCACGCAACAGCCTGTGCCAATTCTAATTGTGGAACTGCTGATTTTTAGGCATATATTTCTTTCCCGTTCTTAAAGCTGATATTGAGTAGAGTGAACTTTAATGAACAGAAAAATTATTCTCTTGATAGACAGCTGTAATTGGAAATCTCAAGAGTTGTATTAACATTAGGAAGCTTAAAATTAATTTTATTGGGTATTAAAGAAGAAATGAAATTGACCTTTTCATGTAAAGTTATTTCCTGTAGTTTTAGTTAATAGCTAACTGCATAATCTTTCATTTTACAGGTGAATTATGGAAAAGTCTGTAATGAAAGTAGAAAAGGACTCAAATTCACCATCTCTTGTGGCTGTAATCCAGAGTTTGCCTTTGTACCCTATGGTAGTACCATTGCTGTTTATACAATTTTCACAGGAGAACTGATAACTATGCTTAGAGGGCATTACAGTACTGTCGACTGCTGTGTATTTCAACCTAATTTTCAGGTAAGTAAAGTATAAACAATATTCCAGACAATCTGGAATATTTATGCAGATTGCCAAACCACTTGCACAAAAAGTGTTAACTTTTCTGAGATGTGCTTTAATCAAAGATCTTGGCATAAGAGGGAGTTCTGTGGCCTATGTGTCAAGCAAGAAAAGTTTGGTCAAGTTCTTGGGACGGCCTTTTCTATATTCCGTTCCTTCCACTATCCTTTTTGTCTCACATAGGTAATTTTTCAACATACCTATAGTAATTTTTTGGCTTGTGTTGTCATTAATAAATCTTAGCATTAAGGCTTTTGCCTCTTTTCGATAAGACTGAAAAAGAGGCATTTGTCTTTCTCTGAGATACCTAAGAATAATCAAGTAAGAAAGAATGTAAAGTGAATTTAGGTGAAGTGCATTAGTATTGCTATGAGTACTGAGAAACCTCTCAACTACTTTGCTAAGGTGATCTTGCTCAAATGCCTGTAGTTATAGCAATCACTGGATCTATGAACAGTTTGGATGAAGTGTTGAGAACATAATGAGCTTCTTAAATTAATCTGAGAATGTTTCACCTAAGAAATACCATAGCATTACAGGGACTCATGCTACTGACAGCCTTTTTTTCTTTTCCTCTCCCGCTATGGTATATTTTTCTCTTGTAATAAAAGACTTAAGGATAACAAAGCTTAATTTGTTATGAGATACTTTACAACAGATTGTTCTTATGGCTTGTGGTGTGGCAAGTGCATGTTAGTATGGATTTTTAAGGCTGTTACATAGTGCCCTCAGGTGTTGAGGATTGTACTTCATGTTCCAGCTCCTCCTTTCTCATCTTTTGTTTCTGAGATATCGGGGAGAAATATTTGAGGCAGAAGGGGCATGTGGGTATCTTTTCATGACCTCTCATACAATACATCATAGAAGTTAATCTGGTAGCTCTTGCTTTGAGTCCAGTAACTTTGACTGAAACAATGTTTCCCTCTCACTGAGATGGACTTCACTGTAAGTTTTGGACACGTTACGGGTGAGGCAATAGAGCCCAAGCTAATAAGCCTTGCTAGACCTGGAAAGCAGTTCTGGCATGAATAGGCAGTGAGATATTAGATCCACTGAAAGGTGGAATATTCACATTATAGCTAAGGCACATCTTTTCTGGACTGTTCTTGACTAGTTTAAAAAGGCTTTTGTGTTTTTAAGAATAGTTTCCCAACAAAAGTGCTACTGTGTTTATATTAAGTAATCTTTAGTATTCTTTTTGATAAACTGGAGAGATGAGGTTCATTAAATCTCACTGTAAATCATGTTTTCCAGCCCTGGAAATGCATATCTCTGTATGTGTCTGTATCCTGTCTTTTAAGATCCTTAGAAAAGGATCACTTGTGATCATGCACTCAAGAATTGCATCAGTCACTATAGCTATAGGTTTATGTTGGCAACAGCTTCATTTGTTTATCTGTTGTGATTCCTGATTCTCTTTCAGAATCACCCTTTTCCAGAGTTCAGTTCTGTATCCTAGAAATGTGACTGGATTTTCTTTAAATGCTCTGCTTTTAGCTGTATTAAATTGTTAGTCTGATGGAATAACATTACTATAGTCAGTGTGTCAACACCAAAGATAGTGGTAGCGTTATTTTGACTGTGTTCACACCTATATTTCCAAATAGCTCATTCTGTCTTGAGACAATTAAGTACTTTCATCAGTCTTCATATAATTCCAATAGAAATTATGATTTCCCAGTTAAAACTTATTTTCTGAGAATGCAGTCGTTTGTAAAATTTATAGTTACCAGTTTTATTTTACTCTTGCAAGCAATATTAAATCAGTATGTTACGAAGTTATTCACAGCTGTGCATTTCTGTTTTCAGTTACTAGTTGTAAAAAAAATTTTGTTTGACAAAACCTGCTTTGTTGCAAACCATGCTGACTGATGTTGTTTATATTCCTGTATCTTAACTCTACCGTAACTGAATCGCGTAATCACCTTTTCCATTGACTTGTTTAGGATTAAAGAAATGTCAGTTAGTTCATTCTTCTTTGTTTTGTTTTGTTTTAATGGCATATTAGCTCACTTTCAGCTGTGTAGTATTTCAATACATATTAAAACATAATTAACTTCAGCAAGCCAGAAGTCATCTTAGACAACTCTTCTAAGTCTCTCTGATATAAATTATGCATCTGGTGAAATGTGTAGCAGATAGCTTTCTAACATTTTTCTTTTTACATTTGAGATTAGTAACTATCTTCATACGAAACAAGGTCTACATCTTTTCTGCATAGTTTCTACCATTTCTATCTAGTAATGAGTCTCAGTCGTTGTTAAGAGTTTTCTTCATATTAATAGTCTTCTAAAGTTTTTCTGCTGTCTTTAACCCTGCTGAGTGATTTTTGTCCTATCCACTCCCAAATCTGATCCTTAGATTTTCTTACTATTTTTTTCTGTGTTCAAAACTTCTGATTGATATTGATTGCTGCCAGTCCCTCACATTCTTTCTGTTCATTAAGTGTATTTTAATCACTTTGTTTCACCTCATAACTGGAATAGGCTCTAAAAGGAACTTTAACTTTACACCAATTATGTATTTGAGGTGAGAAGTGTCTTCCGTTTGCTCGGAACCATGTCATCAAATGTGATCACTGAAGCCCAGGCAACTAGCTATTTGCAATCCAATTATATTGGTCTTCATCTGTTCTTATGAGGTCCAAATTAATTAGCAGGTTTGTGTGGAATACCTTTTGTGCTTGAGATATTCTGTGGAGCTGCCTCCGCAGAGTGGTGTGAGATTTAGTTAATGTGTGTACATATGCCTTTTGAGATCCTGGGAATAGAGCCATAAAATCCACTATATTATTGTTGGCCTAAATTGGTCTTACACAAATATCTCTGTAAAGTTAATAAGATGTTATTCTGCTTGAGTAATAAGAACTGCAGAATTTGGCCCTTTAATAAGAGCCAGTAATTTAATAGGAGGTCAGTAATTTCAAGGGTGGTGTGGAAAAGGAAATCTTCATTGTGCAATCTTTTAGATGATGTTTACTGTTCTATCTAATACGCTAGATACCATTGTGCCATATTAGCTGCTTAAAATAATTTAAGTAAACAAACAAAACCTACGTTTCCCTTTCAGAAGAAGAAATGGAGTAAAGCACCATGCACAAATAATATGTCATAAAATATTAGGTATGCATCAGGAAGCAATTTTGCTTTAAATTGTAGGTACTTCTATTGTTCAGGGAATGCCAGTGACATCTGCAAGGTATTTGGAAAATCCAGTGGTAGACTAATAAGTAAAGATAACTGAAAGTTAAATTAGGTTTTATTTGCAATCTTTCCTCAGAGTCTTAAAGCATAGTATTTCCATATATTGTACCATAAACATACATGGAGCATGTTTGTAGTACAATATGTGTGTATGTCCTATACTGTAACATAAACATGCATGAAGCTCACTGGCTCTTCTTTTGACTGACTTAAGGTATGAGTCACCATTTCGGGTTGTAATAATTAATTGTAAGTATTACCCAATGCAGTGGATATTAACTGAAGATCTTGCAATGCCAGGATCAGAAAGTGAGGCAAGTGGTAATAAAGATTACATGGAAGTATGCTGATGTCACTATGAGATTGCTCACAAGGAGTGATTTTTGGCTTGGGAAGAGGTTTTAAAGTTCTAGTGATATTCTGTATCCTGTCAAAGACAGGAGGCCTGAGTAGAGTACTGCTGACAGGATAAAGTGGGATTTGACCTACACCTTGGTGTAACTTTGACCTGTCTTCTTTTAAGCAAGATAAGTAGGATGTTTCTCTCTCATAAAATTATAAACTCTAATCTTGTATGTGTTTTATGAGTTAATAACTTCATGCATGGGACCAGTTTTACAAAAGTGAGTATGTCAGCTCTCTTGAGTAAGATTACCCACATAAATGGGTATTTATAGGAGTTAGGCATTAGGTTCCTGCACCAACTGTCAGCATAATTCATGCAGTTCTAGCATTAAATCTACATAATATAGGAGACTTTCTGCAAAGACAGAACTGTAATAATTTATTGGACTTATATTGAATCAACGTGTTAATAATGTGCACATATGCACAGAGTTGCTAGTTTAAGTGTAAAAGCCAACGTGCTTAAAGCAAGGCTTTCATGCTGTTGGCCTGAATACAGAAAAAATACATGTTTCACTCAGGCAGTTTAAACAGACGGCAATACTCAAGTGTTGTCAGACATCCTATGTAATATGCTGGAGTATGATTCAAGATTGAAGGCACATGAGAATATCTTCATATGTGTTCATTTAAGCAGCACTTTGAAAAATAAAAGCATTATTGGTGCAAAATTTACTGCAAAGATGGTGCAGTATTTCTCATTAGCAAAATGTCCTCAGTTTAAAGTAACAGATAAGTTTGTATTTCCTTTAATAAAGATCTAAGAAAACTAAGCTATATTTGACTGTTAGCTGTTTGGTGTAGAGACTGTTTGCTTCCATGTGTTTGCAGGGTGCCTTGCACAATGGGATCTCAGTCCTTAGTCATTACCATAATAAATAGAGTTATTTATATTAAAAATAATAAATTGGTCTTTCTGATCTCTGCCTTCCCAACAGGATACAGGCTTCAAATTGTTCTTTATTTGTTCTTTTCCTTCCCTAGGCATACTGAAACTACATTTACTTAATACTTCTTTGTTCCATACTTATGCGCTCTTCTAACATATACTACTAGGTGCTTTTGAGTTGATTAATATTTTTTGATCATAATAAAAAATCTTTTTCTTTTTTTTTTTTTTCTCTTTCTCCATTGAAAATAAATCATCTCTTAAGCTTCCTAACTGTTAAAATAGGTGTCTTTTCAGGAAACATGAGAGAGGGAAGAAGAAAAGTGCATTTCAGCTATGAAGTTCATTTAAGTGTGGGTAGTGCTGTTTTGGTGAGCAATCTGGGAAAAATATAAAAACTTACTCATTTTTGTTTTGGCATATCATTTAAAATACTGTTTATTAAGATTATAGTACAAATTAGAAATTGTATATTTGTCTTTGTTTTTAAATAAATATTTCATACACCTTTTTCTCCCAACATTATATCTATGTCACTGTTTGTAAGTAAGTTTGTATAAAAGTAATTTTTGATTGCTTTCTTGAAGGAACTTTATAGTGGTAGCAAAGATTGCAATATCCTTGCATGGATACCAGCTCTTCGAGAGCCAGTTCCTGATGACATTTCTGAAAAGGTAATGAATTTGTGAGTTTGAACTATACTTTTTATGGCTGTTATACTTGGGGGTGGTGTGGAAATTAGATATAAAGCATGTATTTCACCGTCAAAGTTTGTAAAAATTCTTAATTAAGAGGAGAATCACCTATTGTTTCTGTGCAATCTTCTGATTGTTGTGGGGTTTTGAGAGGACGTTTTCTTTCATAGCCTAATGGAATCTTTTGCAGACCTCTAGCTTCTCACTTAATTAAAAGTAGTACTTATCATTTGTCTATCTGTCTTTCAACTTCTACTTTAGCTTCCTTAATTTCCGTACTGTTTTCTGTAGTTTATGCTATTTTGGAATTGGAAAGGTGCCAAAGATTGTATTTTAAGTTGTTTAAGAATATACTGTGTATTAAACAGTAAGATTAGGAATGCCACACTTCATACCCAAATATTTCTGATGCAGAAATATAATAAAGAAGGTTCTAAAATGAGCTTATTTTAGTGTCTGAGGCAAGATGTTCAGGCTGTTACAGGGAAGATCATACATAACTCTGTTTTCCAAGAGAGTACCTTCTCTCTCCTAGTGTTAGAGCAATAAAAGTGTTGGGCAATAAAAATTTCAGTGAAGAGTCTGAGGGGGAAAAATTCTAGATTTTAAGGAACCATTCACAGAATCAGAGTCTGGCAAACTGTACTAATGTTAAAAAATCAGGATATATTTATGCTTTGGCTCAGCATGCACAAATTTCACTTTTTAAAATTTCTGAAATGTTTATTTTGGATGGGGAAATGATAAGCATAAAATTTTTGTAACATTTACTTTGCTTTGTAAGACAACTTATTTCAAAACTGTCCTACACTTAAGCAAAGAAGAAAAAAGTAGTTTCAAAGGTTAGATACCCTAAATCCAAAATGTGGTCTGTTGACCTGAAATGAACATTTTTGCTGTAACTGAGAATTTTGATGTGTGTGAATTGTTTTTTTAGTCTGAAAAACAAAAACAAACCCACAGCAACAAGATTATTTACCCAGCTCTGATTAGAACTACCCCTTTAAATTTGACGTGGTAGAGGTATGTAATATGTGCCATTGTTTTGAAATCTGTTAAGCTACAGCTGCTGTTTTCAAATGTTGTAGATGAGCACTGCCTCTGAAAGAAGCGGTTTTGCTGTCCATAGGCGACTAGTTCCTGCTCCCTTTCATGTGCTAGAAGAGCCATTTGAGTTCCTGTATGACCAGAATCTGAACCCAGGGTAGAAATAAACAAGAAAAAAATTTTACCCCAAGTCAAAACTGTGATTCAGTGCACTGCTGCACAAACCCTTCAGCCTGACCCTAGGGGGGCTGAGGTGAGAAGTAGTTGTTGGATGTGGATAGAGGCCAGGACTACTTCTTGAGACAGTAGTGCTCAGTTACGCTGGGCCAGGGAAATTATGACTTGAAACCAGTGACTCAAAACAAACACAGTAATATCTGTCTGTTATATTTTATACCAGACATTTGTAAAACTTCCAGTCACTGCTCCAGATTTTTTTTGTTGAAATTGGAATTAAATAGATTACTATTTCTTTTCATAATTTATCCTATCTCTAATCAGCGGAATGGCCAAAGAAGTGGTTAAAAAAAAAAAATCCAGTACCCATGAGAGACATAATAGTTTGTCTACATGTAGTAATTTAAGAAATACCTTTAGCATTGCCCTTATTTGATTTTAGTATTTTTAATTAAGCAAACCACTGAGAGAATTTTTTATTTTCTTCAGTCTCTGCCTCAACAGCATTTAAATCCAGCATATGAAGACGCATGGAGCAGCAGTGATGATGAAGGCTGAATTTCAATTATGTGCTGATACAAAATTGACATTCAGGCACTGCATTCATGGACTTTATCTACAGAATTGGATATTGTCAGATTTATTATGACTGGATTTTTGGTACAGTTCTGTTAGAGCAAGGTCTTTCAGAAATAAGTTTCCACTGTTATCTGTGTTCTTACTTCACTGTTACAGTTAAACCTAAAGGATTACTTTTTCATACTTACTGACTTTTATACTTACCCTTATGCATTGGTATGCTTTATTCAGTGTTGAACAGCTAATAACGGAAAAATAAAAGCCCTTGGGACCAGTTAATATTGCGTTGTTTCTGGTATCGCTAATACTTAAAGAGATAATCCCTGTTTCCAAGAGACATGATACGGAGGATTTTGCCTGACGGAGGACTAGCTCAGGGATACTTCCAGCTTATTTTTATCAATGTCTAGATGGAGCAGACTGCGTCCATTTTCAAGTCATTGTGTGCTGTGGGAGCCAACAGGATTTTGTGCCTGTTCTTTTGCATTTTCAGTTTTTCGTAAGTTTCTCCATAAATGCAGTATTCCGTTTAGAAAGAGGTATAGCTGGGATCATCTATTCAAGTGCTTATATGGGCACCCCATCACTAGTATCTGAATCTGTCCCAGAAAGTTAAGAGTAGAAACTAGTTTAAGTAGAGTTTTTATTGCTCCTGTTGGCAGGTTTTTAAGATCAGTCTTCTATGTATGAATCTCTCATACTTCCCTAGCCAGCGTGAAGAATTCCTGGACAGAAACAGGCTTGAGGTACAGTACAAGGCAGACAGTGGATCACATTTCAAGTTAGAAATATCGAATATACTCCTTCAAAACGGTTTTCATCTGAATTTGTGGTCCAAATGCCTGCTTTGTTTTGAAAGGGAGGAGTTTTGTGGGGTTATTGTCTCGTCTCAATCACTAGTTTGTGCTTCAGACATAGTGTAGTCACCAATCTGAGAGCTGAGTTAGAGGTTGCCGTCAGATGTAGATGCACCTCTATAGAGGAAAAATTCCCTCCAAAACAGAGCAGATATTAGGGCCACAGGCGAAAGGAAAAAAAATTGTACAAATAAATGAAAAAAAAAATTTAATCTTTGTATAGTGTGTATTATTTCTATGATTAGTATGCATTTTAGAATTAATTCACTGTACTTCTGTATTTTAATATCGATACAAGATATAAGTTGTCAGTTTCTATATCAGTCTAGAGTCTAGCATTGTAAAATGATACCAAGTGAGGAGTAAGCTTATCGAGGGAATGTTGTAATTAAACAAGCTTTATATGTAGTGCATATTTGCTGGGAGAGACCCAAAATCTAAGTTGCACTATTAAGTGGATAGCTGCAGGGTGGAAGACTTCCAGAAGTTACAGCTGAAGTTAAGAACCAGCCTGACCCTGTCACTTTACAGGAATAGAGAAGAGAATTTTTTGGGTTTTTTAAATGATTGTTTTCATTAGCAATGGTGGCGGTTCCCTCTAAAATTGGAAAAACTGGGGAAAAAAGTTGAAGAAAGATTACACATTTTGATTTTTGTCTTGAAGAGGATGACTTTTTTTGCGTGTTATAATTTTGCATATCATTTTTATATGCTGACTGTAGTGCATGTATTTGGTATTTGAATTTCTAAAAATGTGCTTAGTAAATCATAGAGCTAGTTATCAAAGAACAAATGCATTTTTTTTCCAAACAGTTTTCAGCTACCTGTAATGTGACTATAAATGGTGTTGATTTTAAAACAAACAAACAAAAAACCCACCAAAAAAACCACCAGCTCTATGATAGACTGGGAATGGTATATAAAATGGGAGAGGTAGTAAAATTACATTTATTAAAAAAGGTGAGAAATCATAAGTTAAACCAATAAATAAGAATGTTGCATTAATTCTCCTGTTTTTTGGAATGGCCTTTCTCAGATTAGTTCCTTTTCCCACGCTTTGAGTACACAATTCTTGAAATTGGAAGGGACCACTGGAGATGATCTAGTCCAACCTCCCGGCTTAAAACACGGTCACCTAAAGCAGGTTGCTAAGGCTTGTGTTCAGTTGTGCTTTGAGTATTGTTCAATTGGGCTTTGAGTATCTCTACAATCTACAAACCTGTTCCAGTGTTTGGGCATTCTTAAAGTTTCTCAGGTTTAAATGGAGTTTTCTGTATTTCACTTTGTAACCATTGTATCTTGCCCCATCGTTGGATACTACTGAGAAAAGTCTGACTTCCTCTTCTTTACTCTCCCTTTCCCTGGTTCCATCAGATACTTCTACACATTATGAGGTCCCCCTTGAGCCTTTTCTTCTCCAGGCAGAACAGTCCCAGCTCTTTCAGCCTCTCATAGGAAGGATCACCTCCCTCAACCTGCTGACAGCACTCTTCCTAATATAACCCAGGATGCAGTTGGCCGCCTTGCTGCAAGGGCACATTGCTGGTTACTTTAGTGTCCACCAGGAGTGCTGGGTACTTTTCCGCAAAGCTGCTTTCCAGCAGGTTGGTCCCTGGCCTTTTCTGATCCATGGGCTTTTTCCTCCCTGGTTGCAGGACTTGGCATCTACCTTTATTGAACATCATGAGATTCCTCTTTGCCTATTTCTCCAGTCTGCTGAGGTCTCTCTGAATGGTAACAGCACAACCATCTGGTGTACCAAGCACTCCTCACAGTCTTGTATCATCTGCAAACTTGTTGAATGCTCATTCTGTTCTATCGTGAAGGTCATTAATGAAGATGTTAAACAGTACTGGCCCCACCTGGGTTATACCACTGGTGACTGGCTGTCAACTGGACTTTGTGCCACTGATCACAACCCTCTGGGCCTGGCCCTTCAGCCATTTTTTGATCTCACTGTCCACTATCTAGTCTGTACTTTGTCAGCTTATCTATAAGGGTGTTTTGGGAGACTGTCAGGAGCCTTGCTAAAGGTAGACATTATCCACTGTTCTCCCCTCATCCACCAAACTAGACACCGTATTGTAGAAGGCTATCAGGTTGGTCAGGCATGATCTTCTCTTCATAAATCTACGCTGACTGCTACCTTCTTGTCTCTTGTGTGTCTGGAAGTGGTTTCCAGGATTATTTGCTCCATCACCTTCCCAGGGATGGAGGTGAGGTTGACTAACCTGTATTTTCTGGATCTTCCTTCTTGAAGACAAGGGTGACCTTGGCTTTCTTCCAATCCTCAGAAACCTCACCTGCTCACCTTTCCAAGATAATTGAGAGTGGTCTTGCAATGACATCAGCCAGTTGTGGGTGCATGCAGTCAAGTACCACTGTATCTCCAGTTTGTGTAAGCATTCACTATCTGATCCTCCTCCAACAAGGGTGTACCTTCCTTGCTCCAGACTTTCTAGTGGTCTCAGGGAGCTGGGGTTGCTAAAGTCCAGTCTTATCAAGAAGCATTGAGTACCTCAGCCTTTTCCGTGTCCTTTGTCCCCAGTTCCCCTGCCCCATTTAGCAGTGGGCCCACATTTTCCGTAGTCTTCCTTTTGTTGCTGATATACCTGTAGGTTTTAGTTTTGCTTTTCATATTCCTCACCAGATTTAACTCCAGATGGGTTTTGGCTTTCCTAGCCCTATCTGTGCGTGCTAAGACAGTTTCTCTGTATTCCTCCCTGCTTCCACTTCTTGTATGCTTCCTTTTTGCATCTTGAGTTTGGTCAAATTTTCATGCATACAGACATCCTTCCACTTTTGCTTTATTTCCTGCATGTGAGGATGGACCATCCTTGAAAATCAACCAGCTTTCCTGGACCCTCCTTCTCACCAGGGCCATATCCCATGAAATTCTTCCAGACAGAACCCTGAATAGGGATCTATCTGGAAATGTGGAAACTTCCCGCTATACTTTTATGGGGCTCATTTTCATACTGTTGCTGAATAACTTTTTGCATGTCAGTTTTGCATAAGTTGCACCATGAATGCAGCGTGGGATCCAGCTCAAGAAGAGGTGGGCTGGGGATTATTTGCCCAAGTATCTATCCACCCAGGCACCTGTAGGGTTAGTGTCTGAAGTTGTCCTAAACAGTTGAGGATAGAAATTAGTTGCCTTGGGGGCTTATTGCTCCTACTAACAGCTGGTATCTTCTACACAGGAATCTTTCCAAATTCTCTTCTGGTATCAGTTGATGATGTCATTCTCCCTTTTGACTGTTGTCCTCTGCTGGAAGGAGAGGCGTTTCTGGTGAGGTAAATTAAAAGCATCTGTGTCTCATCCAGGCAAGAATCCAGGGTCATTCTACAATCCAGTACCTGCGAACCTCCCATATAATGGCAGTAGCTAATACATGATATTTAGTTTGCAAGGTCTGAAACCTCTCGGTACTAGCCAGCATCTCAAACACCAGTTTCTGTGAAAATTCTGCTTTGAATAATGGCATATATGTTATGATTTCCTTCAGTACTTCTAGTTTCATGTAGATGTGGTAAATTTACTATTTAAGTCTTTTCTAGAAAAAAATGTTATTTTATTTCTGCTGCATTCTTACAGTGGCTGTACTTAATTAGTAAGTAAAGTGTTGGTATTTTCAAAATGAAAAATTTTAAAGGACAGTGAAAGTATGTTGTATATTATTTTTCACTGGAAAGAACCAAGAACTAAGCCAACGGTGCCAGTTGCAACTATGCATCTCTTCCTTATGTTCAAGTTAAATGTGATAATTAAATCTAAGTCTTCCCCTTTATTTATGCCTATTCTGCTTCTGTGCTTGTAGCATGTATTTTTGTAGTGTCAGAGCTCTTTCAGAATCAGAAATGCAGCAAGTGTGGTCGTATAGACTTAATTGCACTTCCCATCCTTATGTCAGTCAGAAAAAAAACACATTTGAAAATCCAGTCAGGTGTCAAAAGGGGTGCTGTATTCATGTTGAAATAAAGTTAGTCACCTGAGATGCAACTAGCTGATAGCTGGATTCTAAGTTCCTGTTAAAAACAGTAAGAAAGTAGAGAGCTTAAGCTGGAATGGACTGCACTCTTATCGCAGTAGCGGTACTGGGATTTAGTAGTCATACTCTGTATCAGAATGCATAGGGAAGTGCTTTCATCTTTTCAGGCCGTTCTGGGAATTGACTATTGCTTAAAAGACTTCCTTTGCCTGCCAAGGCAGAGGTTTTTATTTGAGCTTGGTACAGCAGATACCAAAAGAGGGAAAATAATTTATTTGTTCTTATAAGAGATCAAAGAATTTCCTTTCCCTTCTAGCCTAAGGAAACAATGGAGGTGGGAGTCAGTCTAAGCCAGCCCAGTTCAAGAAATCCAGAGAGCCTAAAACAAGCCTCCTTCAGCTCCAGTGAAAGTTGAGTTCTGCAGAGA